CCGCCGGTGGTTCGGCCCGGCCGCCCCGCCCCGCCCCGCGCGTCCCCTGACGCCGCACGCACCTGACGCCGAGCGTGGCCGGGCATCCGGGCGGGGCGTCCGGGCTCGGCGGTGAGTGTGCGCTTTTCCGCGGCGGCCCAAGCTCCTGCGCCCGCTGCGATGAGCTACGACCGCGCCATCACAGTCTTCTCGCCCGATGGCCACCTCTTCCAAGTGGAGTACGCGCAGGAGGCCGTCAAGAAGGGCTCGACCGCGGTGAGCCGGGCCGGGCCTGGCGGGGAAAGGGGAGCGGGGCAGGCCCGTGCGCGGGGAGGCGGGGAAAGGGGAGCGGGGCGGGCCCGTGCGCGGGGAAGGAAAGGGTGGCCACCCGGGCGAGGAGCCGGGCCGGGCCTGGCGGGGAAAGGGGAGCGGGGCGGGCCCGTGCGCGGGGAAGGGAAGGGTGGCCACCCGGGCGAGGAGCCGGGCCGGGCCTGGCGGGGAAAGGGGAGCGGGGCGGGCCCGTGCGCGGGGAAGGAAAGGGTGGCCACCCGGGCGAGGAGCCGGGCCGGGCCTGGCGGGGAAAGGGGAGCGGGGCGGGCCCGTGCGCGGGGAAGGGAAGGGTGGCCACCCGGGCGAGGAGTCGGGCCGCGGCGCAGCGCCGCACTCCCCGGGTCGACGGCTGCGCCGGCCTGGGTGTCCGCGGCCCAGCCAGGTCCGGTGGGCGTTGTGAACAAAGGGCGCTGCGCCGTAGACAAGAGGCTTCCGGGTCTGCTGGGGCCGCGGACGCTGGGTTCTGGTTCCGGCGGCCGCGCTCTCCTGGCCCCAGCTCTTGTTGACACCTGGCAGCGCCCTGGAGCTAGAGAACGGGCTGTTGTCACCAGGTCTAACTGGAGATGTGGCTGGGCAGCGAGGAAGTCACAGTCCGGGTTCTGCGTCTTAGTGTTTCCATTCCCGAAGTCTTTCGTCACTTTCAAATTAAATTACCCATTCTTTTGGTGACTCAGTCCACCCAAAGAACTAGGAGGTCGAAGCTCGGTGGCCCATGTCTCTAATTCCTAGCATTTGGAAAGCTGAGGCTTGGAAGGCTGAAGTTCGAGGTCAGCCAGGCTTATGAAGTGAGACTGTTGAGATGGCTAAGTCGGTTCACTACGTGCTAAACGAGCTTCAGGACCTCACTTCCGCTCCCCAGCATCCACACGAGAAAGCTGCAGATAGTGACATATGATACCTGGGGCGTGCTGGTCACCTGGGCCAGCAGACTCTGACTCCGGACTGAAGGGTGACTGAGTAGTTACGATCTGGGATTGCTCAAATTTGAGTGTATTGCTTGCATTGCCTGTAGGTTAAGTGCACCCATGTCGTGCAGTGCCCACGGAGGCCAGAAGAGGGCCTCGGATCCCCAAGAGCTGGAGTTCTGGACTGTGGTTAGCCACCACGTGGGTCCTCTGCAGGAGCTCTTAACCTAAGAGCCATCTCTTCAGCCCCACTGCTCAGAATCTTGAAGAGTTGAGGGACACCAATCAGCCCCTAGCCTCCATGCCCACACAGGACCTGGGAGTAGACTGTGTTCTCCAGCGTACCTGCCCGCCTGCTGTGCCCAGCTAGCTTCTGAGAGCACTTGGGTTATGCCGAAGGTCACATAAGTTCACACACACACACACAGACCAGTGGCAGCATGGACAGAGCTTCTCCGTTGTCTAGGGTCTTGTAGAGATGTTCCTGACACCTGGGCGAGTGGGACCAGGAATGCTGCCCCTAAGTGATGTTGCATTTGTTTCTGGTGCTCTCTTGAGTGTGAAATGTCAGTTTCCCTGCGCTTACTGCAGTTTGAGGGCTTTTTGCTGCTTTTTGGGAGTGGAACCCAGAATCTCCACGCATGCTAAGCACTCTTCACTGCCCTGACCCTTTTCTCGTTTTAACATGGTCCGTCCTTCTCCCATCTACAGTACTAGCCATAAACAGGGAGGCAGTGAGTTGTGGTCCACTCTGCAGCACATGAGCCCTCCCAGTACTGGGTGGCATCGTGAGTGGGCAGGAGTGTGACATGGGCTTAGTGAACTCAGCAGCTGCAGCATCCAGCACCTGATGGGGAGTTTCAACCCAGGCCCTATGGTCTTGTGCAGGCCACCAGGATTGAAGTGAAACGTGGTGCCTGCCTGCTAACTAGCTGCAGTTCAGCTGTCACACGGCGGTGTCTCAAGGGCAGGAGACTGGACACTTGGGCCCTGTACTTGTACTATCCAAAGGAATGGGTCTCTGTCCTTGGTGTGCAGTTTGACAAGTGTATGGCCGGGTGTGGGTGAACACGCCTTTCCTGTAGGGTTGCTGCTCCGAGGAGCCTTTTGCCCTATCTAGTTAACCCTGTCGTACTCTGGCATGCCAGAGGTTAACTGCTGTCCTGCTTGTGAAGACTCTTAAGTGACATGCATTCTCATTTAAGGTTGGTGTTCGAGGAAGGGACATTGTTGTTCTTGGTGTGGAAAAAAAATCTGTGGCCAAGCTACAAGATGAAAGAACAGTGCGGAAGATCTGTGCTTTGGATGACAATGTCTGCATGGCCTTTGCAGGTATCAGTCGGGTCAGGGCAACCTTCTCGGAGTCTGGGTGAGGAGTGGAGTTCTGGAGACTAGTTTAGTGGGGAGAGGTGATTGGGACACAGGTAAACTGGATTGATGGGAATCCTTTGAAAAAAAGAAGTTGACCAGGCAGAAGCAGGCAGATCTCTAGTTTCAGGCCAGCCAGGCTACATAGCGAGACCATCTCAAAAACCAAAAGGGCCCTTACATACGTGCAGGGGAAAACACTCATACACAGAAAATAATAAAATATCAAAAACAAATACAATTCAAATTAGCTACTTCATTTAGCCTAATTTATTGAAACCTACAAAATGAGGATTTTAAAAATAATCACGGGGCTCACATCCAGGGAAGCAATGGCCGCACATTTTACTCTGGATTATTATAGACTTTCCTTCTGGTTACATGAATATAGAGATTAATGATTATAAACAACTCTACGTGATAACTTGATACATTTTTAACATATAATAACATTAAAAATAATTTGGAGCTGGGCGTGGTGGTGCATGCCTTTAATCCCAGCACTCGGGAGGCAGAGGCAAGCACATCTCTGTGAGTTCAAGTCTGGCCTGGTCTACATAGTGAGTTACAGGACAGTTGGGGCTACAGGGAGACCCTGTCTCAAAAAGACCAAAAAAAAAAAAAAAAATTGGGCATTGAGAACAGTGGCCATGGCTTCCTTGGGAGAGCAAAACCCAGGTGGACACTTTCTGGACCTAGCTATTGGCTCCCAGTGATACACTACAGGTGGTGAGGGATGCCTGCAGATGGACAGAGGACAGTGTCCTCCCTGCAACACACTATCCACAGAAGTGGCAGTTACCCACCTTGAGCAGATCCAACCTCCAAAGATCTCAGTTGACCTGAACTAGGGACAGGCTTACCCAGACCCCCAGAAGATATGAGTAGCATGTTTAAACCGGGTCTGATAGGCCATTGTTCATACACAATTTTCTCAGTGCAGCTTTGAGGCCAGCGTTTCAAACACAGTGGTTAAGTGCTGCAGCATCTGTTGTCCTGGGTTGTAGCCAGGAGCTGCCCTGGCAGAAGCCTGTGCTATCCTTTCAGGTCTCACCGCTGATGCAAGAATAGTGATCAACAGGGCACGGGTGGAGTGCCAGAGCCACCGGCTGACTGTGGAGGACCCGGTCACTGTGGAGTATATCACACGCTACATCGCCAGTCTGAAGCAGGTGGGTGCCACTTGCTCACCTGGTCATGGAGCAGGTGCAGCTGCTGTCGGGGAGTGTTATGTATCTGCTCCAGTCTGATGGCACTAGTCTGTTCCTGTTTTGGGACAATTCTAATTCATATTTTGGAGGGGGTGTGTGTGCCAGTTTGCCATTCTGAGCAATTATTTGCCAAGCAGTTGTAGCTAGAATGTTTGCCTCTGTCAAAGTGACTTTTTGTAGCCTCAGTCAGCTATCTGAAGTATAGGCCCTCAGTGTGTCTATAAACGAAAAAGGTTGATGCCGCAAGTTTCTGTCAGCATCTGGATTGCAGTTTACTTTGGGTGGCTTAATGGTTTTTAGCCCCTCCATTGGGTAAACTGCTGTCATGGGTGTGGCATGGACTCCTTGGGGTTGATGGCACTGACTTTTCCTTGCAGCGTTACACACAGAGCAATGGACGCAGGCCATTTGGCATCTCTGCCCTCATTGTGGGTTTTGACTTCGATGGCACCCCCCGACTCTATCAGACTGACCCCTCAGGCACATACCATGCATGGAAGGTAAGTTCACAGCCCAACAGTGGGGCTTTGGGCTGTAGGAAGGCCAGAAGGCCATTGGGAAGTACTAGTCTGCCTGCCTGAGAATTGCACCTACAGATGACAGCTTACTTCAGTGTGTGTTCTCCATGCACCACCTGTTTGGTCTGTACTTTTACATACTGTTGAGGACCACATAAAGGCCGAAGTGTACATCTCCCAAGTGTCTCGTAATGAAATCTAGTGCTAGCCCTTCTTGGTAAGAATCACTAGTACGATTTTAAGTAGCCTTCACCTGGCTACGCTGTCACCTCAAACTGCTGGAAAGCCGAGGGAAGACCATAGAAGGCAGCCGCTGGCCAGCCCGTGGTGCTGTATCAATGTCTCTTAGGCCAATGCCATAGGCCGGGGTGCCAAATCGGTGCGCGAGTTCCTGGAGAAGAACTACACAGACGAAGCTATCGAGACTGACGATCTGACCATCAAACTAGTGATCAAGGCACTCCTGGAAGTAAGTGTGCACAGGCAGAAGTGCCCTGGGAAGGTGGTATGGACTCCTTTATAGGGCCTGTAAGATAACAAGCAGGTAACACCACGGTACAGGACGGAGGCTGGGAATACAGGCCATTGTTGGGCTTCTCAGTGCCCCTGCTGTCCCAGACTGTTAACACTGGCACCTGAGCAGGCGTGACCCAAGTGCATTTGGGGACAAAGGCTGTGGATATTTGACCTCCGGTCCAGGAGGGTTTGGGCATGTACTGTAGATCTTGCTAAGTTTAAAACCTTACAAGGTAGACATACCTAACACTGCCTTTTTCCCCCTTAAAAGGTGGTACAGTCAGGTGGCAAAAACATTGAACTTGCTGTCATGAGACGAGATCAGCCCCTCAAGGTAAGTTGGTGGAAAGGGTTGGGACAGGTTCTCCCTACATAGCCTTACTGGAGCTCAGGCTCTTCCTGCCTGTGCAGGTCCCCCTCGGCCTCCCTCGGCCCTGTGATTCCTTCTCTAGGCTGTGGTACACAGCTGTGTTCACCTTTCTCTGGTGGAGACCTGCTCCTGTTCTCACACACTGAGGCTGCCAACTGCAGCTCTGTTCCCAGGTCATCACCTCGTTTTCCTGATGTGCTCCACATGGGCTGGCCCAGTGGTTGTCCACACAGTGGTGCACACACTTAACTAGAATGTGTTTCTTTGGGGTGTAGATTCTAAATCCTGAAGAAATTGAGAAATATGTTGCTGAAATTGAAAAGGAGAAAGAAGAAAATGAAAAGAAGAAACAAAAGAAAGCGTCCTGAGGGATGGAGCGTCCTCACTGGAGCCAGCATCAGGACTGAGTCAGGAGTGAGCCTTGGCGTAGACCTTCCTCTGTCCACCGTGTGCCCAATAAATTTCTGCATTTTTTTAACCTTTTCTAGTAACAAGAACATATCACTTATAAGTGTAGTTCTGGTAGTTGTCAAGGTGGGATCTTTGCACCTTCCTTGAATCCAAGTGCTTGAGTCAATAACTGGTTTCCCTTTTGTGCCCATCAACAGGCTCCTAGCCAGTTAGGGTAGAGGTCTGGCATCCCAGGGGGTTGCCCTTAGGGAGTTTGCAACATGTTTCCTTTCAGACATTTGCTCAGGACACTAATGAATACCAACTTGAAGACCACACAAGCACGTGACTGAGTACTGCAGAGACGTGACTTTGTACTCCAGTTTTGAGGGCTGTGTATAGCATGGTAGAACTCTGGCCTACCACATGAGGCCCCTGGATTCCCTTAGCTCTTGGGAGGCAGAGGCAGGTGGATCTCTCGAGTTTGAGGCCAGCATGGTATATGGTGAGTTGTAGGTCAGCTGGGGCTATAGGGAGACCCTGTCTCAAAAAAACAAAAAAAAAAAAAATCAGCCAGAGGGCCTGGATAAATGACTCACTGGTCAAGGGCACTTGCTGCTGTTCCAGAGGACCTGGGTGCACATGTACAAGTAGATCTTACAAAGCTAAAAAGGCTGAGCTGTGTAGTGAAGTCTGTGCCACCTTCTCCCCAGCCCCAGAGAGCAAGGCTTTTACTTTTCTATATTAAAAATGGGGCCATTACTGGCTTTTCTCTTTTTAGCCAAAAATAAATACTCTTGCACGCCTTTAATCCCAGCACTTGGGAGGCAGAGGCAGAGGCAGGCAGATCTCTGTGAGTTCAAGGCCAGCCTGGTCTACATAGTATGAGTTCCAGGACAGCTGGGGCTACAGGGAGACCCTGTCTCAAAAAGACAAAAAAAAAAGTACTCTCTTGGCTTCTGGTCCTGTATTGTGTTGCCACCTGCCTGTCTCAGCTTACAGTTGCCCTAGTTTGTCAGTCTTGTAAAAAGAGGCTCAATTCAAAATGTGTCATTTTCAGAATGATCTGTCATCTTGGAAACACCAAGGCTAGTAGTCACCAGTGGTTAAAGCTGCCACTTAACCATGTTGTGAGACTCCTGGCAGAGAAAATACCCGTTTGTGTCATCTATGGCATCACCCTCATTTAGAACAAAGGCTGTGGCTACTTGTACCTAGCACACTTATTGCCCAAGGACAGGAGGCTGCCTACGGCCTGCAGGCTCCTATCCTTCAGCCTGACACCACTCTAGACACCCAGGGAAAGCCAATCTGATGACCATGTGTCTTCTAGTCTTCTGAAGAATGCTTTCAAAATCACTTTGGATCAGTTAGAGCAGAGTGCTATACTGGTCTGTACCCAGACTCTAGACAGCAAGGTAGGCTACAGTGAGGACCAGCCTGCCTCTAGTTCATCTGTGGTCAGTCAGGCGCTCCTCCAGTTCTTCTAACCTAGGTGCTCCAGGCCTGAACAGTGCCTCTGGGCAGGCACTGGACATGACACAGGTGCCGCAGGCAGCGTCTGAAAGGTCGAGTGTTTATTTACTGTTTACATCACCCCAACAGAGTAGCCCCAATGCTATGTTCTACTCTGCTATGAAGTCCTACAAAAATAAACCCAAGCTTTTACAGTGTGACTTCACTGACAGAACTAAAGCCTTCAGAGCTATTTGAAAGGGGGCTGTTGTCAAGGTGCTTATTTTCAACAAAATGCCCTGTCAATCAGAGAACGCATGCTTACACAGAAAGTCTGACCCATTTACTCATGCAACAAATTTATCTTCCCACCCTCCCTCCACCACCTTTAAAATAAACACACAAGAACTATTTACAATCAAGGAAGTAAGGCCGAGTGACCTTGTTTTTTTTTAAAAAAAAAAAAAAAAAAAAAAAAAAAAAAAGACTGGCTCGTTTCCAAGTGGATGAGAACACTTAGTGTCAGCCAGAGTCCAATGCTGATGGACCTGGGCCAGAGGCTGGGGGGGGGGGCAAGACAGGAGGGTCAGGGCACACCACTTGGGCTTGTCCTAGGCTTCAGCCTAAGCCTCAGCACCTGTGGAAACCACATGACACTCCAAAGCATTCAGGGGCTTTCCTATTACTTCACCCACGCTATCAGACCCCAGTCCTGACACCGTGGTTCATTATGCAACATGATCCATGGGACACCCCCTTCCCTGCCCTTGCCGCCCCCCACTCCTCCCATATGCCTGGCACCCTGTGCTGGCCCTGCCTGGCTCCTGAGACTCCCCATTTTAGCAGTTTGGGGTACTAGGCCAGCAGCACCAGGGGCCAGATGAGTTGCAGAGATGCATTTGGCCACCACATGTCCCAAGTAAGATTTGGTTCCATTTTAAAAGTCAAAGCTGTCATTTAAAAAAAAAAAAAAAATCACTAAGTGAAGATCGAACCTTTTACCTATAGAAACCTTTTTTGTGAACTACCAAAACCTTAGAATTAGGCCGTGTGAAACCGAGAAGGAAATGCAGGTCCAAGTCCAAGTTCTGTTAAGTCCAAAACACAAGTGGTGGTGTGGGAATTTTCCAGACTTGGTAAAAAGGACCCACTTCTCTTCGTGAGCACAGCATTTCCTTTCATCCTTATTGACAGAGCTCCACCTCTCTGCCTCTTCAGTGGGACCCTGTAAGAGAGGATCCAAAGTGAGTATGTCCTAGGAGGTACCTGCCATCACACATGCTCACCAAGCACTGGAACCTGCACAGGACAGAGGTCACTACCCTTCAATGTCTCAGGCTGCCCACTCCCGTACAACCTTAGGGACCAGAAGACAGAAGCAGAACACTGTGACCTCTCTAGGTCCTGCATGGCACTGCACAGAGATGCGCTGGGCCAGACTCAAGGGCACACCATTCAGCTAAAAACAAACTGACTCGGTGCCCACTGGCTTTCTCCCTTGCAGATCACACTCCACAAGCCCTCCACCCACAAATGACTGCCACGGTCCTCAAGCTCCCATTCAGATGAGGCAAGGTCCCAAGTCTGGCTCTTGCTGTTTTTAGGAGCTGTCTGGGTGACTCTAAGGATCAAGGCCAATGGTGTGGCCTGGACACCTCCCAGCTGCAGGTTCTGTGAGAAGGCAGCAGGCCTGCTTTCTCAATGCCTAAGTGCTGTCTGGGGACGCTTACCCTGCCTCCTGCCACCCAAGGACCCAGAAGGCTCCCTACTCACTTGGGCTGCACCCTCACACCCGGCCAGTGCCAGCTCGGTGGGAAGTAGGGTTGCGCCGTGTTGCTCCGTTGCCCCTGCCTCCTTGGAATCCACCACGGGAACTGCGGCCACGAAGAAACCTCCCCGACACCCCAAAGGTCTCAGTGTTCAGCTTTCTCTCTTCAGCCCATGTTGTCCGCCTGGAACTAGACAAAAGACGAGGTACATGAGCATCCAACCGCAGCGGGCGACCCCTGAAGTTTCAGAAATGGGCTGTGTCCTTAGAGCAGCACACGGGAAAAGAACAGGCTGTGGCTAAGGCTGTGCAGAGAGCACAGCCCTGGAGCCGGGCCCCTCACACTACAGGCCTGCCTTCCCAGGCACTGGGCAGTGTGAGACCATCTTTATCACCAAGGGTAGGCAGGTAATACAGCAGGTGATGGGGAAGCCTTCGTGTCTGCTGGGTAGTCCAGGCAAGCCCCAAAGCAGAGGACGCACAACACCCCTCCTAGACGATGGGGTCCTCCTGGATGGGGAAGGGGCACGAAGCTAAAAGGAGCAAGAGCCCCTAGAACATGCATCTGCTTTTGGGGTGGTGGGAAGATGGCAACTCGGTGCAAACAGTCCATGCTGCCCAACACATACTGAATGGACTCCTGAGTGTCTGGCTGTATGCCTGGGGCCCCCACTGGGTTCTCAGACAGCAGAGCCCAAATCTTGCACACTCACGTCTTTATTAAAGAAACGTGACTGTCCTTCAACTGCCCAGACCAAAGCAGCCAAATTTGGACTCCCTGCTCTGCCACGCCCAAACTGTCAGCACCAACTTAGACCCAGCTCTTCCTGTTTCCACACTCACGGTCCTCACACTACCACACTCACTCCTACCCAGCCTCCTACTGAGCCATCTGGTCTCCACACTAGCCTATCTCCAACCACTCTTACCAAAACGCTGTACAGACAAGCGAGTTCTCCTGGATGGCCACACCTTGGCTCCTAATACAGCCAACGGCACCCTACCCAGCCCAAATCCACTCCACAGGCAGACCCTGGCTTCACCTAGAAAATCCCCTTTCCCCACTCCCACAGCTGCTGCTGAGACCTGCCACAGCCCTCCTCCATGCCACCGCTGGGCCTCCAAAGTCCTTCTCCACTTGTCTGCTCCTTGCTTCAGGTAGTACCCTGGTAGAACATATGCAGGGCTCACCTGGCTTGTTACCTGTCCTTCAATGCCCTCGGCACACCTGGTGCTCAACCAACTCTTGGGTCTGAGTTTGAACACCATGCCTGCACTGCCATCTGCTGAGCAGTCTGAGGGTGCTTATCCACAGTGCTGATGAGAACTCCATGCCAGGCACTGAATGCCAACACAAGGACCACCTCTGGTTGGGGCTTGACCAGCAGCCTGAGAGCAAGGCCCTTAGGCCACCCAGGCCAGCAGGCAGGCGAAGCTAGAACACTGAATGGAGTCCCCAGAACCTAGTGGAGAGGGCAGGACCCTGACAGATTAGGCGACAGCCAGAGATTTCAGGTGCCATATCCTGGCTGGCCAGCGGTAGGCATGACTGGGACTCATACCTACCATGTAGAAACCTAAGACCCCTAAATGTAAAGTCCCAACCTCGGACCTGAGATGAGTACAGCTTAGCCGTGTGCTTCAGGACTTTCAGAACAGCCCTCTACTCCAAGGTGCACTCAGACCTTTACCTCGTTTTGAGTTCAGAAGAGATGTTGTCAAAGAATGACTTGGATTTGTCATAGTAGCAGTTGGGCCCCAAAAGCTCTTCCTCAGCAGGAGCCTCGTCACTCTGGGTCATCACAGCCGGGTCCTTCTCTTCCCCCTTCTCAGCTCTGTCATCTACAAAGAGAAACAGAGCACACAAAGGTACAGAGGCAACCAGCATCCAGTGTTCTCTCTCCAGTGTGGACTCCCTGCAGGCTCCACTCAGCAGCCATCCCTCGGGCTCAGTGACCTAAGCATCTCATCCAAGGAGAGAACCTCTCTTCTAACCACAACTCCAAGTGGATCTCGGGTAAGCCTAGCCATCCTGAGGCACTCTAGGGTTCTCCTGGGTTAGCTTCCACATGAACCAGACCTTTAAAATTCAGTTTCTTTTTAAATTCTTTATCGAGCTCCTCTCGGTTGAACTGGGCATTTGCACTCTCAAAATCAAAGTCGCCTTCGAACTTGATCGTGTTTTCCTTAGCAGCAGTCGGACGGTTTTGCCCTCTGGAGCGATTCCTCGTTCGCCGATTCCCTGGTTTGGAGAAAGGAGAGCCAGGGATGAAATCACCAACCTGCTATCTCTAGCCCAACTTCAAAATGCAGCTCACAGGCAGCCTCACCGACAGCAGAGCTCACTGCAGCAAGCACCACCTCAGTCCCAAGTACCCAGCACCGGCAAACAAAGCACAGCCTGCTGCTCCTGGCTACAGAGCTCAAGCGGCCCTGGGTGTTACCTGACCGCCTCCTCGGAGGTCTTCTGTTCTCATCATTCACCTGCCCTTGAGTGTGCACAGGCGTCGGCGGGGCTATATCTAAGGTGCAAAGGGAGAGTGAGGCAAAGCTCACGCAGAAGCCAAAACCCAGACACCAGACAGAGCAGGGTACCACCACCACATGCAGCCCTGTGGGACTGAGGCTGCCCAAAGGCCTGCCTTGCAAAAGCATGTGCTTTGGGATGGGCACTGTTGTTTAAAACACAACCCTACGCCGGGAGCAGAGCTAACTGCAGGGGATCAGTGTTCAAGTACCGCTGGCAGTCTTGCTGCTTGGCTGTGCCTGGCGACCCAAACTGAGCTGTGTCCCCGAGGTGCCCTTGCTAGGTAACAGCTTCTTAGCGTTCAAGTTGTCGACAGAACCAGTCTGGACAGCTTGCTCCACCATGGGGCTCTTGCCAACTGGGGTAGACGGAAAAGCAGCTCCTGAGGTTCCACAGGAAAGAAAGTGTAAAAACAAAAGGAGGAAGCGTTCCACCTCCACTTCCTTCTTCTGGTTGGCATAGCACGGGTACAGTGGGGATGACACCCTGCCTAGAGACAGACGGTCTGCTCCCAAGACTGACTCGCCTGGACCGGCCCATTTCCCTCTGAAGCCGGCCTGGGTGGCACCAAGGCCAGTTTTTCCCCAGGAGCACCAATCCTTGAGCTCCAACCACGATGAGGGGCAATCACTGTCTACCAATGGGCACTTCCCCAAATCTGCAAACAAGTTTCCTAGACAAACTCTAACCAACTCTGAAGGGGTCCAACAGTCCTGAAATGAATTCAGGAATCTTTCACTCTAGTCCACACTGGAGAACCACCACCCAAGTCTGAGATCTTCTAGAAAGAGCAACAGGCAGGCTTTGAGGTCAACTCTTGAACAGCTTCACAAGAAACAGGATGAAGTGGCCAGAACTGGCATGGTGACTGTGACAGCCCACAGCATCTTGAGAGGAAAAGTTACGATGAACAGAGACGGGCCTCCAGGTGCCTTCAGTCAGAACTATGCCTTCAGTACTACATGCGATGCAGCTCAAAACTGAGCATCGTGGTGGCCCCAACACCAAGCCTCTGAAACTGGCCAAACATGAAGGGCCACCAGTACTAGCGGCTGCCTCCTGACCCCTTCTCCAGGTCCCCATGACCCAGGGGAAACATTAAGTCCTTGGGGACTGAGTGGAACTGGACTAAAAGGTGAGGCAGAAGAATGTCCCTGTCAATCTTGGGTAAGAGAATCTCGAACCGCTGTGAAGAAATCTCTGTGGCTAGGTCAGAGCAGCACTCACAGAGCAGAAATCCTTAAGGGCCTCTCAAATGGGAACTAACCTGGACCACGTCTCAGGTCTATCACCTCACTCAGCAATACTGTCCCAGGAGACTGGAAGCAGTCATACAGGGGTCATGGGCTTCCTGACTTGCTACAAAAGCAAACCAATTAAAGCCATCTTGTCTTCTGGGAAGATTTATGCAAATGGCCATCAGGACAAAGGAAGTATCTGGTGCCTTACTCAGACACAGGGGTCCCTGCAGGACTTGGGAAGCAACTGCACAGACATACTCTTATACCCCTGAGGCCTCCTGGAATAAGCTGGGTAACGATGAAAGCTTGAGCTGTGGCTACTAACATAACAGTCTATGTAAAACACACATGTACCAAGATCAGTGTGAGAACATCAAGAAGGTCAAGAAACCCCAGAAGAAGGGTGTTGTCTCAGCATAGGTAGGTGGTGGTAGGTGGTAGATACCAACACTGACCAGGTGGCCCTCAAGACGACACTATTCATGAGGTCAAACATCTGGGGTTGTGCAAGCTTCCTGTTTTGAATGCCCTGGTGACTGACCTGTGTGTCTCATCTGAGTTGCTTAGGAATGTGCCACTGCAGTGATCTAGACCATTTGGAACCCAAATCCCCCAGGAAAACACTCTGGTTTCCTTGCAGTGTCTAGGACAGATCAAACACCCTGAACGCAGGCAGAGTGAACAAAGTGTTCTGCTGACCCTTTCTAACCCTGCCCTTACAGCTATGGGAATAACACTCAGCCATATGTGGAACCAAACAGAAGCAGTGCCTCTGATCCCTGGGCCTAACAGATGATCTGCTCCTATGCCTGCTGTTCTGCCTTTCAGTTTATCTCCTGGCTCTCATGGTCTGTAGGACAGCATGCAGTTAGTTCTTCAAACTGCTGTTACCCTTGGAAGTAAGCTGAGGTGGCTCTGAGGACATGTCAAGCTCTGAGACAGGCTGTGGAGATGGAGAAGAGCTAGGGCTGGAAGCAGCGGCTGAGGCTGGAGGGCTTACCAACTTCTCTAAAGAGGGGACAGGAGAGAAGAGCACAGAGAAAGCACACCAATAAGTCAGGACATACTTGTCTTACGTCTAGCAAGCTTGCAAAGAGCCAAGCAACCTATTGTATGACATATTTGAAAGACAGTGAGCCAGGCTGAGAAGCCACCCATCTCAATAGGATAATCATGACAAACATGTGGCCCATAGCATTGGTTTGGGGCCTAATTAACATTCACTGCCTGGACTGCCTCATGCTGTAGTCTGTACAAGGGTGGGTGGACAAACTACAAACCATGTTGGGGGTGGGGGGATGGATGTGTGCATATGCACCTGTATGCACATGTATGTGGAGGCTAGAGGTCAACCTTGGGTGTCCTCCACCTCATTTAGGACAGGGTCTCTTACTTGGCCTCTGCTTGCTGGCCAGCGGGCCTCAGGCTCCATCTCTGCTTCTCCAGTACTGGCATTACATGTGCCCAACTCTGTATGTTCTGACACAGCTACAGAACTAGGTCTGGATCAAACACAGGGCTGATCCCACTCCCAACACAGAGAACACTCCAGTCTAGAACTAGCAAACCTTGGTGGAACCATCTTTGGGCTGGATGCTTGCAGCAGAATCAAGGATATGAAAGGATATGGGGCACTATGGGCTCACAGATGTGTGAACAGCTAGCTCTCATCTGTAGGGACCTACAGCTGCCCCAGGACTTCACACATTTCAGAAGCATTTTGATTTCTGTCATCTGGTGCAGAATCAAGACTGCTGCCACTGGTCCAGCCAACAGCTCCCGACATGAGCTGAAGCTGCACTGGATAAGCTGCTGGAGTGGTGGGGCACAACAGCCTAGAAACTGCAGGACATGGCAAGTAGCCAAATCTGGGGTGTGCAGCTCCATGACATGGCAGTCATGGGCAGGGGTAGTTGAGCACACAGAATGGTCACTCACCTAGACCTAAGGAGGCAGCATACTGCTGGCTGAGCAGGGAACTGGCTGCCAGCTGGCCGTATGGTGGCATCCCTCTGAAGGGGCTGTAAGGCACATGTGGCTGGAAGGGCGAGGCGGAGGCAGAGCCCAGGGAGGACTGAACAATGAGACATACATGTGAGAGCAGTGCAAGGCCATCCTGTTGTGCTGCCAGTCTGCACAGAGCACTCAGACAGGAACAGGACACCTGCCTGTCAGCCTGCTCTGCTGATATGCTGAATAGTTTCCACTGTGCTGAAACCAGCATTTTTCCCAGCATTTCACTCCCAGCTGCATGGACTTCTAACTATTAAAACCATCTCATGGTTCCCCCTCCACCATCAGCAGTCTGGCCTTCCTATATAAGGAAATGCTGGAGACTTGCTTCCCTGAAGAGACATAGCGGTAGGGCCAGGAACTATTTACACATCCCCCAAAGTGTCCTTCCTCGTTCCTTCGCCCCTTCTCCCTGTGGTCCCCAAGCCTCCAGGACCATATGGCTGTTCTTTGGGGAACTGACCTATCCCCACAGCCGTCTTCTGACTACTTCCTTCAGCCCCAAGTCTGGTTACATCCCTCTTTTAAGATTTTGAAGCTCACCCTGCCTGCTCCTACCTAATAGGCATAGCCACATCTTAGAATCTGGAAGAGGCTGAACACCAGGAGGAGCCAACAAAGGTTTAAATTTACAAAGGACATTAATCTGGAACCCTCCTCCCCTAGTAATCCTGGAGCATAACCCTGCAGGCAGTCTGCAAATTTAGTATCCGACAGTGCAATGCAACCACTGGACTACTTAAGACAGTGAGCCTGTCACCCCTGAAAGTATCTCATACCACTCACACACTGCTTCGTGCTTGACGCCCCGGGCACCTGTGGACCACCAGGGCCAGCAGCAACAGCACCTACACACCACATAGCAAGTCACAGGACTCTTTCCCTAGGGGCCGTGCTATAGAGTACACACTAGCCAATACATGCTGCATAAATCTAACAGCTTCCATGGGAACAGAAACCGCCTGGATGAAAACTAGGCCAGTGTTCATTAAAGGGCCATTCCTCAAGTTGAGCCAACAGATGGCAAACATTATGACACCATGTTCCATGTGGAAGCCAGTCTCTCTTAGAAACTGCATCCACACAGAAGCACAGCACATGCTTACCTGAACAATGGCAGGATCCTGAGGGAGTGTGTGCTGAGCTTTTGGAGGTTCACACACAGTAATATCTTTGATATCGCTTCCCCGGAAAATGATGTACTCATAAATTTCCTCTCTTGGGGGAGCAGGCCTATCTGTGGGACGGTCTTCAGTACCAAAGGACCTCACTTAGGAGTTGAGAAAAAGAAGGGTTAAGTTGTTATCTGTGGCCAGTCCTTCTATCAGTCGTCTGCTGCCACAGCTCCCGAGTACCCTCTGGGACACAGCACTCTTCACAAAGAATAGCTACTTAATTGCCCAGTTTTCAGCTCACACCTACCGGGCACCAGGTTGGCAAAGACTTAAAGCTGTAGGTCACAGAGATGACAAGTTTGGCAGAATCCCTAGTTTCCAGCACAAGCTCTCAGCAAACAAGGCTGGCTTTGCAGAACCTCCCTCTCATATCTGACTTTGCAGATGGAATCGCCATCGTTATAAACCGTCATCACAGGCTGCAGCTGAGGAGGCGGCTTCCCTAGGCAAGCACCATTAAGTTTCCCCAGCTCTTGTACACAGCCAGTCTTGGCTGTTTGCAGAAACAAAGGGTGTCCCAGAGTCCAGACCCCCAGCGCTAGCTTCTGCGTCTATAAGGAAATTCTGTACCCAAAGGACCTATATCAGGTTCCGGGAACAGCAGGGATGCCTCTTTAGTAGGGCTAAGTGGCTGATCTGGGTTTGGCTGCAGGCTCCACCTCATTTTAAAAGCACAACTCCTGTGGGCCGGGGCCTACCCTGGGCCTGCTTCCCCCACCTGGGGAATCGCAGAAGCAGCACAGTGAACAAAAAGCCTTTCAGCACCGCGGAACACCGAGCTCTTTCCCACAGCACCGCAGTCTGTTAGCACTAGGCTTCAAAATGGTTTGGGATTGCCTTGGGGCCGCGACTCCCTCTGCCGTCGGCTTCCGAGATGCCCTGACCCCCCCCATCAGGACCGGAGGCTGGATGCTGCGCTCGCGCTACCCCACAGCAGTAGGGGAACGCGCGCCCATCTCCGCGAAGGATGGAGACAAAGAAGCTCCTGGCCTCAGACTCCGGACCCCTCATATCACACAGAAGCCCCTCAAGTCGGCTGGCGCCCACCCGCGTCTGCCCCCCAAAAGAGCAGCGGAGCAGGGTGCAGCGGAGAGTTTCGACCCGGGCAGCCGTAAGTCAACCGAGGGTCTACACCGCCGGTGTGGGGGGGGGTCCCACCTGGATACGGAGGCTCCACCAGCATGCGGGGTCCCACCAGGATTCGGAGAACCTACCGGGATTCGGGGGGCTCCACCAGGATGCGGGGGCCGCATAAGCCTAACGATGGGCTCCAGGAGAGCGCACCTGTCCACTACCCCGGCCTCGCTGCCCAGGCCGGCGCCGCGCCCCGCAGGTGCGGACGCCCGTGGCGCCCAGCAAGCCGCCCCACCCCCAGCACCTGCAGCGCGGACACAGCCCGGCCCACCCCGAGCGCACCGCGGGCGCCGGGCAGACCCCGGGCGGGCGCGGCGGGGGAGGGACCCCGAGCCCGGGCTGTCGGGGGGAGGTTGGGCGCGCGGCGGCGGCCGCTACCTTTGGCGAGCGCCACGGTGGAGTTGTCCGTGTCGATGGTGTAGAGGATGCCCTCGTAGCGGATCTGCGCCTTGGAGATGAGGCTGATCTTGCTGCCCAGATACGGGGTGCCCGACGAGCCGCTCATGGCGGCGGGGGAGCGCCGGGGACCAG